GCTCAACAAACAAATAAAAGTGACGTAAACAAATAATAATAATAATACAAATAATGAACTTGGGCTAAGTAGCATTATGGCACCTACAGTATGTTTTAAGTAAAGGATGGGCCTCATGCAGGAACATCTTTGTATTATTATCCAAAACTCCAAGTCAGTTTTAGCAAGCGCTTCAATGGGAAAACGTTTCTCAGAAATGGCCCCTTGAAGCCTGAGTAAATGACACCTCTTCATATGGCATGGGATTTTATTTTTTAACAATTTTGAGCTTTTCTACAAAACAAGTTTTCTATATAAGAAGTTTTATCTCCTGTCAATTATTTTAAAGCCTGTCGCTCAGACAGACACCTCACTGATATGTGTGTGTTTGTGTGTTTTTGTGCATGCAGGCTCAGGAGGCGTGCGGTCCGTTGGAGATAGAAAACGCTCTGTCCACTGTACGAGGTCTGGAGAAGGAAATCCAGGAGGCCAAGGCTTCAGCTAAGGCGGGGATACTGAAACCACTGCCAGGAGAGACGGTGAGACACACACACACACACACACACACACACACACACACACACACACACACACACACACACACACACACACACACACACACACTGATATTATGAACAGTATGGCTGACAGTGTGTGTCCTCTCTGTGTCTCAGCTGGAGAAGTCCTCTCAGGATCTGGGGAGCAGCACTAAGGCAGTGAGCTCAGCCATGGCCCAGCTGCTGAGCGAGGCCACGCAGGGCAACGAGAACTACACCGGTGGGTGCAACATCAAAAAGAGACACTCATACCGCAAATATTAATATATGAAAGAAAGCCTACAAACTACTGCTACATAAACTTAGAAATTAAGAAACAGTACATTTTATTTGTAAAATAGAAAACTTAAATGGACTTAAATGGACACCCAAAGTGTTCCAAATAAAGACATAAATATGACATTTTGAAAAATCATCATATGTTTAAATACAGACAAAATACACTGAAGAACTTTAACATGTATTTATATTTATATACAGGTTTGGAAGTAAACTAATTATTACAAAATTGTTAATTAAGTAATTTTTTATTTTACGAAATGACCGTTTTATTTTGTAAAGCCAAACATTATACCATTATTGTTTTGTCATCAAGACAAACAGTGCAGTCTTGTGATTGGCTGTTCTAATTTCTGTTCTATTTCAATGAGCCAACAGCCAATCACACCACTTGCCTGTTTTCTGATATAGAATTATCAGCTGATAATAATTAGCTGCAATAAGCTTTTTGAGGCAGAGCTGTGTTGTTTTAATGTGATTGAATGTAAAGCTCATGTGACATTGTTTCTGTATTTATTAATGTGGTTATTCCTTCACCCAGGCATGGCAGCCAGAGATGTGGCCCAGGCCCTGAAGTCTTTGGCCTCGGGGGCCCGAGCCGTCGCCGCCACCACCGAAGACCCGGCGGCACGCAACGCCATTCTGGACTGCGCCGGAGACGTCATGGACAAATCAGCCAATCTGATTGAAGAGACCAAGAGGGCCATCGCCAAGCCCGGAGACCCAGAGAGTCAGCAGCGACTCGCCCAGGTGAGACCCAGGGAGGGAGAGAGAGAGAGAGTGTGTTTAATCCCTGAGAGCTCATATTCCTAAAGCTTTCTTGATTTTAAGGGGTGTAAGAAAACAAGCTGTTGGCCGACTTCCCAAAGTTGTATTGATTTCTGTTTTTAAAGTTCTGATTATTATCTAAAATCCAAAATGTGTGTGTTTGTGTGTGTGTAGGTGGCTAAGGCAGTGTCTCAGGCCCTGAACAGGTGTGTGAACTGCCTTCCTGGTCAGAGGGATGTGGACAACGCTATCCGAACTGTGGGCGAAGCCAGCAAGGCTCTCCTGTCCAACTCTGTGAGTAATACAGATTGAATCACTAACAATGTGTTAACAGTGGTGAGATGAATGCTTCTTCTCACTGAGGTTTGTGGCTTTCCAAGTGAAGATCCTCTCTGTGAGGGGACCAGGGCCCAAAGACTGTTGTTTAAAAATAAATAACAAAACTGCAGGTGGGGTCCAAAATAACAAATACTTAAATATGGGTGCAGTTCTGCTAATGGGACCACTATAACAGCCATGTTAATGTCAAAGCTTTTAGAATTGTCCCTTTCTGGAAAGCAGTATGGTATATCAACTTTAAAGCTGCCCAAAGCCATTAAAATATCATCACACTTCTTTCAGTCTTTGCAAAAAGGGATTTGAAAACTTAATCTAAACCTCTCTTTGCCGGTTTCTCGGTTTTTATGATATATTTCCAACACATACTTTGTTTTCCTTATTATTTTTGCTGTATTCTTTACCCAAAAACCGCATTCACATGAATGACAACAAACCAGTCTGACTAAAAAATGTGCATTAAAATTGTGAGTTTCCCAGATGTTAGTGTTACTGTATAGCGACCTCTTGTTCCTTTGTGTCTCTCATGTTTCTCCTCTCTCTCTGTTGTTAGTTCCCGTCCAGCGGCAGAAGCTTCCAGGAGGTTCAGGGTCAGCTCAACCAGGTGGCGGCCGGTCTGAACCAGTCTGCCAACGAGGTGGTGCAGGCCTCCAGAGGGACCACGCAGGACCTCTCCCGCGCCACCAGCAAGTTCGGACAGGACTTCAGCAACTTCCTGGATGCTGGTGTCGACATGGCGGGAACATCCCAGGTCAGCATAACGACAGAATACTTACAGGAAGTGATACTGCCTGTGGCCAGAGGGGAAACGGGCCCAAAAGGTTTCAGCATGAGGACTTCCTGCTGCTAACTTCCTCTTTAAATCCACTGTGGGAGGCCTCTGAAGTATTTCATGAGATGACAGCTGAGTAATTCTCAGCAACTTCAAAGCAGAATACATCAGAGAAAAACTACATATTATAATATGGGTCATGAAACTAATTCATGATACATTTGCGACACAATTTGGCCATATGTACTTGAAATAAGGGTCAAGTGATAGGGATCTCTCTATTTAGCTAATTAACAAATGTATGGATGAATTAGCTGTTTCTAGTATATGTGGTAGCAGAATGGTCAAAGTAAAATTAAGTCAAAATAAATAGTTTAATTTCAGGACACAGTTATATGATTTCTGTACGTCCTTTCCTCCTGCAGTCTAAAGAGGACCAGACCCAGGTGGTGTCCAACCTGAAGACCATCTCCATGTCCTCCAGCAAGCTGCTGCTGTCGGCCAAAGCCCTGTCCACTGACCCCAGCTCCCCCAACCTGAAGAACCAGTTGGCAGCCGCCGCTCGGTAACACACACACACACGCACGCACGCACGCACGCACGCACGCACGCACACACCCACACACACACGCACACACACACTGCCCCTTCAACAGACATGCAGTCTTATTTAGAATACTATAAGTTAGACAGAAATTATTTTAAATGGCTTTACATAATCTTGTATCTCTCTGTCTTTCATATACTGTACAGTATATGTTCAGAATCAGGTTTATTCCCAGGTAGGTTGACACGTTCGAGGAATTTGACTCGATGTCATGGTGCATCCAAAATGGTGGAATGAGCTCCCCATTGAAATCAGGACAGCAGAAAGCTTACACATCTTCCGGCGCAGACTGAAAACTCATCTCTTTAGACTCCACTTCGAGCGATAGAACTATTAACAAAGCACTTATATACTAATAAAGGACTGGCTTATCTAAAGCCAGTTGAGCATCACTTGAAATGTTTTAGCTCTATGAAACCTGATGTACTTATATGATTCTGTTTTCTTCAAGTTTGTATCTTGTTGGTCGAACGCACATATTGTAAGTCGCTTTGGATAAAAGCGTCAGCTAAATGTAATGTAATAAATGCATACTTAAAAGTAAAACAAAAATTAAAAAACACAGATAGAATTGAAAGATTGTAAGAAAACTATAATAACATTAAAAAATATTAAGAATAACAAAAAAATATAGCAGTATTTACATAGAAATAGAATGGAATAAAATTCGGCAGTAATAAAAAAAAAAAAAACAGATATTTTGTACATTCGGTAAATTAATTTAATGCATAGAGATGATGTGGCTGAGGTAAATTGTCAGTGGGGGGGGGCGGGCTTTACAGTTACTGTACACACACCTCTCTGTCTCTCTGTCTCACGTCTCTTTGTCTCTGTGTCTGCAGGGCAGTGACAGACAGCATCAACCAGCTCATCACCATGTGCACTCAGCAGGCTCCGGGTCAGAAGGAGTGTGACAACGCTCTCAGAGAGCTGGAGGTAACAGCAGAATATTTTCTCTTCAACCCTCAATCCTGAACCTGTGAGCAGGCCCCTCATTGGGACTGCTCTCAGCTGTATGTGACGTCTTTAGAAGCTTCTGTGTGAGCTGTGATATTGCACTGTTAGAGCCTGTGTCCATATAGTGCTTTTTCTATGGGAGAAAGGCGCCAGGGGGGTTTCTTTCATCCAAAAAACAATATCTCAACAACACAGACTAGCCCCGCCCCCTTGGTTACAATTATCTGTAGGTGCAATTACATTTTCCGTTGACATTGTTTTCTGACTACAAACCAGAAGATGCTTGCTCTCCCACTTTGTCTGATCGAGCTTCAGCGCTCAGTCTGACCCCCGCATAGCGAAGTAGGAGGATGGCAAAAGTCACACACTCAATATCAGCAGCATAAATGTTTACCCGGCCGATCTGCTCCAACAAACAGGCTTTTTGATCTTTGCTATTAAAATTTCCGTCTGAAAACAAGGTCCAACACAAGCTTCTCCACCATTTCTACAGTGACGTCACCACCGTTTTTTCAGAAAATCTGACATACTTTAAGCTCCAAGTGCTCAGAGCGCTCGGAAAAAAGACGCTGGTTGCATTGCTTTTTGTATATTAAGCTGCACGAGACGAAATGCGCTCTGTTCTGATTAGAATCAATTGAAAAAAGACGCCGGCGCTATGTGGACACGGGCCCCTAGATGTGAGAATATCTTGACGTGAGCAATATGCAATGCTGTTGTAACCTTTAACATTGTTAATTTGTGTGTGTGTGTGTGTGTGTGTGTGTGTGTGTGTGTGTGTGTGTGTGTGTGTGTGTGTGTGTGTGTGTGTGTGTGTGTGTGTGTGTGTGTGTGTGTGTGTGTGTTTGTGTTTGTGAGAGAGAGAGA